ATCGATACTCCTACCTATATCGCACAGCCTCGCATCCCTACACACTGCACGACACCTTGCCTACACTCACACACTGAAGTGTTAATCGTTTATAAAGTATGTCATGCTATTCATCTACAGTGATAATACGATGCGTGATAGAAAAGGAGGACCTCTCGTACTAATTAGATCCTAAAGGACGAAGTCGTTCTGAGTTTCATACATGTACAGAATCAGTGAAGTATCAGAAAACGCTTGTCTGATATATATGTATAAAACGAAAATGAAATTCAATTCGAACTGTGTCATGCATCGATTTCGAATTACATCATAGTTTCATCAATATGTACCACGATTGAGTATGTCAAAGTATCTTGAGTGAGACTTGCAATACGATGCATAACGCTCTAAGTTATCAACTTATGGCTCGCGAGCCGATCGCAAAAATACAAACAATTCATATTCATTTTTGGATAATTCTATAAGCGTGGTGTCCTGTAAACAGTGAGCGTAGCTTTGAGAAAAGCCTTTTTAACAAGTATGAGGACAAGTACTGATTCTTCAATCTTCTTTTTGATCGTCAAAATAATTAAAACTATCAAATTGGACAAATATTCTTATGAAAATGTGCATGGGTTGTTGATTAATTTGATTTTTACTTAGAAAGTTTCAGAACAATTGTTTTTACAGCTTGTCTTTTGGAACTATCATGGGAGATAAAAAGATTTAAGAGGTGATCGTTGAAATGAGCAGACTTAACGAAAGTTCAGCCTTATCGTAATACCTCTTACAATATTTCTCAAAAGTGCAACTGATTCGATTGAACACTTCAATAACATTGTTCTCGATTAAGAAGAAACAAGTTTATTAGTCAAATTTTGTACAGCTAATACGGAACGATCGAGATTTAAATTTTCAGCATTCAATTTCATAGAATTAATCTTGAAAAACTCGCAAAACGTGTTGAAAAAGTTTCTCAACAATAAAATTTATGGATCATCCGTTATGAATTCGACAACTGATTAATCGAATCTTAAAGGAGATTACGACTAAACACAAAAAAAAATAGAAACAGTCATGTAATTATAGTAATCCAGAATAGTAAAACTAAAAATGTTAAGGCAATTGGTAAAGATTGATATCTTTTTCTAACAGTATGACAAATACATCGTCATTTAATTGAATAGCATCCCAAGGTTTTGCACTTCGTATTTCTTCTGCAATGCGTATTTCGTTCTCAGAAATTTGTAATATAGCTGAATCATTCGGATTGATCACTATCCACTGACTATTGTTTAGGGAACAGCATCGAATTCTGAGAAAATTTGTTATTGAACCAAGTTGAATTATTCGAAATCGTTCAAGTGTTGTAAATGAGCATAGATCGAAATGTATTTGATTATGAGTATTGACAATTATTAGAGCCAATGTTGAATGATTCGATGCCAAACTTTGGATGGATTCGTTTTCTTGGCAAGACATAGGTGGTCGATATTGATTGATGTATTGAATTGAAGGTTTAAGACTGTACTTGAAAATCGATGAAGCGAAATTCCATGTCGATAGTAATAATGTATCTTCAGAGCACGTTCCACAATACCAAAAGTTACTATTAGTGCTACTACGAGTAATTGGACATTGTTGGATGACCATTGTCTTGTCATCAAAGGTGAATATCTCTTCTGGTGTAATCAAAAAAAACCGAGCGAGCGTCGAAGACCAACAGATATCATAAAGCCGACCATGATTCCATATACTATCGTTCTGAATATTCAATTGTTGATCGAATAAACGGAGTTTATTCTGCTCTCCTACTAAAATATGATTTTCATTCGCTGCGATCGAGCAGTAAGGGTTTTCTCCTCTGAATACTTGATATGGAGGCGGTAATGGTAACAGAATGTTTACTCTTGATATACGTTTTTTGATAGTAATGAAATAACCATCAATAATCAATTGTGGTAGAATGAATTCGTCGAGACGAAATTCGTTCATTTTCTGTTTAATAAATCGAATATGAGCATCGATCGTATTGATATGTTCTAGCGTTATGTTTTGCTCATAACTCAATTGATTCACTTGATCTTGTAGCAGATTAAGTTCTATTTCATGTTTCATTCGTTCTTTATAGATGTATTGTTTAAATGCATATTTCGACCTTTCATAAAACTGATAAATTTTGTTATGTGTTTCCGGATGGCACTTCTTACCTTCAATAATACATACAAATTGAACCGTACAAATATCATTTATTTGATTCCAAAACACTTTGATTTCGTTGATAAACTGGTTGATTTTATCATAAAAAGAATCCGAGTCTGTTTTGTCTTCATCCATGCTGCGATTCTGTTAGCAAAAGTTGTATAATATATATAAAATACGTTTTCACGAGCTAACATCACCTATCTGTACTTAAACCTTTTGTTTTGAATACAGGTAAGTGGGACAAATCCCATGTAAACGGTGACATTGGATTTTGTTTGTCGAAGGAAGATGAATCATTCTTTTGTAAGTGTGTGGGCAGAAGTGCAAAGCAAGCAATGACAAAGGAAAATGTCCATGAGATTATTCACGGTAGAAAATTCTAATGTAAACAGATTATAGTGACCATTTAGGAATTATCATGATGAGTAACTTCCTAGTTTGATTTATACATGAGTGGGTGGATCTCAATGGTTCAGCTTATATTTTTTTTTGTGAAAATATTCCAAATAAACATTTAGAGTGACGATAATAAACACATGATCCTATAACCAATAAATATTAGGATCAAAGCAAGTGATTAGAAAGTCGTTAGTAGAATGATAAAATGTACATTATTCTACATCATCTACCTCATCAATTGCATCATGGCGGAATGAAATCAATTCGACCAGACAAAGTATTCAATTTTTTTATTGAAAAGCTTTTACTTCAACTCTTATAGATTTCGAGCACCTATGATTCTAAAGCTATTTGTGATTCTCAATACTGAAACAGGCATGTTCTCTCAGTATCTTGTCAAAAGTAGTTCCTTTCGACTAGTCATCGATTTAGGATTCAACCTATATATTATGGTCATCTGAGTTATTAGTATTTGAAGTTAATAACTCGAGTAGACAGTTAATGAATTATAGTTAGACAAAATTTTATTCGAAATATTCATCGAATTCGTTTTCATTAAGTTGTGAACTGAAAGTTTTCCTAGAGATTCAAGCATATTCACTTCGAAAAAACTAGCTAGACGGAATTAACCAGCTATTTCAAATTGGATACTGTTTGGGTACTAGTAATTAACTATTTAATTATTTATTGTAAAGGTACTCATTAATGAATCACTCTTAATGATGTCCGCTGATCGATGTTTCAGTAATAAGTAATTATTCACCAAATCAATCATTAATCGATTAGTCATCAATCACTTAATTAATCATTGATCAGATCAGTTCAGGTTTCTAGAAATCGGATCTGATATAGAATTATTACAGTCGTATTTATGATCCTTTTTTAGATCATCTTCTGGTATCTATTCCAGTAGTTCTTTGTTTTATGCTTCCTCCGCTCTTTAAATTGAAGTTCTGACTTTGAAGCTAACAGATGGGACAATAATTTCCATTACTATTTATATTTATATCTTACTGGTTGAAAACTAACATTCATTCGTGACACTTATTGATTTCATACTATGAATGATGTTTGCAAAAAAAATAAAAATACACTTGAACTATTCATCGTGAGCAGTCTTTGATTCCATTCACGTAAGACGATTCCTAACTCAAAAATAAAAAATATTGAATCTATTATTTGAACGAAATAGCATGAACTATGTATGATTAATAGGAAGCGCATTTCTAGATAGTCCTTATTTTTCGAAAATTTCAAAAGCTTTCTTAGAATTCGAAGACAAGATGAATAAATAACGAATCATGGATTAATTGAATAGAAATCGATGAAAAAAATATACTTTTCTTCTTTTACTTTTATTTTTTTTTGTTTTCTTATTTCATTGTTCGAGCATGTTTTTATTACTTGTAACTGCTTTTTAAACGGAGGACAAAAAAGACAACAGGCTACTATCATAATTTTTACTACTTCATTCGATGTTTTTTTATGACTGCTGCGCACTATTATACTCGTGCACAAGATGACGACTGTATAACATGCAAGTCATACATTTATAATAGACAATGTGCAGCACTAATATTTAACGTGAGCAAGGGAAAAAAGAAGATGATGATATGAACAATGAGAGTTCAACAAATAATCAATCTTTAAACAATGAATATATCGCAGTTGTTTGATCTGTACTCTGTCTAGATCGATTTTTATCGACAGATAACTGTAGACACAAATTGGTCAAGTGAAGTGACTGACTTACAAAAAGCTGATAAATAACAGAAAGAAAGACGTAATGGTTAAATAGCATTTTGCTGTTCTACATCAATTCAAAATGATATTTTATCCTCAATCGTAAAGTTAACGTGTATGAATATGAACAGTTTATTAATTGCTTTACCTTTCTTTTTCTCTTTGAAAAACAGCGAGCTTATCAAACACAGCATACTCGTCTTGGAACCTCTGAAGCGACTCGATTTCAATAATCTATTACTGTTGAAAGCAGTAAGTGTCATTTTCTTTTGCTTTATTGTGACAAGGTATTGCTTGATCAGCTGAATAGTGTAGATTCTTAATAAGGTAAATCTATTCGTACTCAATCAAGATATTACAGAAACATGTCTTCGTTTCACAGAGGCTTTATTATTTTCTTATGTCAAAATTGAAAGTATGTTCTCACAGTGTTTTTTTTTCTAGTACTATAAATCGAAACCTTTTCGAATTAGTATTCTTGAAACGTTTGAATCTGAAGTAAGAATAATTTTTTCCATCAATTCGTTATCGGGAGAATGAGAGTACAGATATGTCATCTGTCTGCATTCTCAGAAACAGAGAGCATCGATTGACTTTGTCACATTTGTCTGTAAAGCAGCGTGCAGTTAGTAATGGTGTCTTTCATGCAATATGCCTTCTCGTTATTTTTTCTTATGGCAATTGTTTCATTGGCGGAAGATGTTGATCTCCTTTTGAACATTTGTCCAGGTGATTGGTCATGCCGTTTGGATGATCCCAATTCTTATTTAAAACTTACTCCGCCAAAATTCGATCCACATATCTATGAATATAACATTTACATTACTGACAAATATCCATTCTACCATCGAACCAATCCGGTGACTGCTGAAATCTTTATCCGCATGAATGTTTCACATGGATTTCAAGATTCAGTCATCGCCAAGAGTGTCTTATATGATGCTCTCGGAAAACATATTCTTATAATGACGGACTTTGCATATAGTTCTGACGAGATGATGCTGATGTCAGCACTATTATGGAAACCACAAGATAGAGTATCTGGCATTGATACTAACGATCAACTGACAACACAACTAGTCGTCTATCGATTCAATGGTACTATGCCACCTCTATCTAGTCCACCATATACAATAAAATTCAGACGTAATCAATAAAATAGCACGTCAACGATTTGGAAAATAGATAACAAAAAAAAATCTGATGAATAGTCTATTGATCATATTGGAAGGATAGTCGCACAGCATGTAAATTCTTGTTTAGTTACATTTCTACGAACAATCTCTAGAATTTGGATTTCAGAATGATTTACTGGGAAAAGACAGAGAAAGTAATATTTGATTCCAAAAATCATTCTATTTTTAATTCAATTTCGATGGTTCTTTTGCTCTTGCTGTATAAAAAAAACAACTTGACACACAACATGTTTTTCATATCTTTCAGGAGTTGAAAAAAGATACATATCGACATTGTCGAAGACATCCTTCGTTACTTTAAGATGTTCTGGTCAGCTACCATCACATGGGTAGCCAAGTTCTTCCTTTTAGCAAGATTGATTCTTTGCTTGTGTGATATTGAAGCTGATGACCTTTTTAAAGCTGATGAACGGTTTTCCTGTTGCGCTTCTGTTGATGCTTTTTCTTCAAAGGGATTTGAATGAATCAGCTATTGAATCATGTGACCATTTTCTTTCTGTAAATGACGGTAAGAAACTGTTATCATGCTGACGCATAAACAAAGAGTATATCCATACTTTAGATTGAAAAGGTAAGTGTAGAAGTGTGCATATGTGTGATAGTCATCAACAGAAATACATTCATTGTGCCTTAGTCCTTTCCAATAATACATATTATGCTTCCCAAGTTCGTCTTTACTCAAACTGCAATAAGATTGTGAGTGTACGTTTGCAAACGGATCTGAGTGTGTGTATGAGCATGGGAGTAGCCGTAAGAGCCAATAGCTATAGGCGACATCATTCTGCTCACATTCATGCACACATCTAGCAAGAAAAACTGCGAATATCTCTCATTAAAGGCTATCTGCATGAGAAAAATACAAAAATAGAAGTGTTTTTATATGTTCGTTCAAGCTTTATCAGATATTTTTGCAAACCCTCACTTTCATCATACTAGAGTTGTTTCTAGAAGAGAGGAGTTAAATATTAGTTATTTATCTCGAAGTTTTCCTGTACACAAAACTCATCGTCAAAAATTGCTCTCGAAATGTACAGTGAAACAAACAGATTTTCTGACAAATAGTGTCTTACGCGTTCTTGGTTCATCGATTTTTTGCTTGAACAAGTAATGACGCTTATAGTTAATAATGTCTGAGAATATTCCAACAAAACTACGTTTATCGCTTGCAATATAATGCAATATCATTATTACAACAGAGTTGTGCAATTCATAACAGTCATTAAAGCAATAAAAGTAGGAATTAAATTCATATCTCACACACGATCGTGTAAACTATTGGCAAAATAAAATAGACGAAAATCAGCTTCAATTATATATGTTATCCAAATATTTTTCTCGTTATGTACGTTTCCATTGAAGATTGCACAAGAAGTAAAACTGAAAAAAAAGCATCCTATATGAATTTAGAAACAGACTGCATAAGAATTCATTTTCTTCTTTGTTTCATGATAAACTGCCTTATCTATGAGTACGAAAAAGAAAGACGCAAAATATGTTTTTTTCTGACATCATGCTATCGTAAGAATGGAGTTAAATGCAGATAAAGCGTTCATTTTCATCCTGTACACACGCATTTCTATAAAGATTTTTGCATGAACGTGGATGAAATTAAGTTCCACACCAACATCCTAGAGAAAAGTAGATTGATGGTTTTGGTCTCGATCGTGCATGCCCCAAAACAACTCTACGTATTCTTTTTTCACAAAGTCGATATTATTCTTATGAAAAAGTATACGTATAGAAAGACTGGTACTAATTCTTTTTGGCTTTTGCTCGAAATGTCTTGATGTCGGGGAAATGCATATTTGGTGAATTTGAATTACAGTTTCAAGATGAAAGAGAATGTCATAAGCAAGTATGCAAAGGTCGAAATAAATAGATCGAATGACTCTTTAGAGCAGGTATATTCGTAAGATTGTACATCAAGTGAATTATTTAACTTTTAAAGTGCTATGTTGACTCAATTATTTTTAGAACTTGCCAAAATAGTTAAGTTGATAACTGTCGTACAAAATATAAAACCATGACCTTCATCAAAGGGAATGTATGTGCAAGTGCCTTACGATGGGATGGTTTACCAATTGAAACAGTAATAAATACAAAAACTCAATCGAATCATCAGCCAATTACTATCTGTTATTATTTTGATAAAAATCTTAATAAAAAATATCAAAAATCAGTTCTGGATGCCATACATGACATAGAAGAAGCTGCACCAGGCATTCAGTTCAGCTATAGCGAGACAGCATCGAATCGTATTCGGATTTTCTATGGATCAAACAGTCGATCTTCCATTGGGATGACACGAGGCCAACAAGATCTGGAGCTGGGATGGAACACCAAGGGTAATGTACTACACGAATTACTGCATGCATTGGGATTCGCACACGAACACCAACGCGAAGATCGTGATCAATACGTTCAATGTCTAAGCGAAGATAGCAACGACTATGATATAATGGGTATGCCAATTGGTAGATACGATGCTGATTCTATCATGCACTACTCTACTGAGAAAGGCACAATCCTTAATCGTATTCTCTGGGCATCTCATAACGATAAACGTCTAAGTAATGGTGATAAAATTGCCCTCAATACATTGTATCCACCTGCAATTCGGAATGGCACATGGAACCCAAAACAAGGTACTACTGGTTTATTCTATTGTGGAAAGCATAATATGGAAGACAATAATGCACCATTTGGTAGGATTGGTGTAGATGGTTATTGTGGTCCTGACAACGGCCCGAATTGTCCCATTTGCCGAACTTATGGTGGTATACAATCAAGGTATAATGATGAGGGAAGAAAGGCAACACAAGGAGAAACAGGTTTATTTTATTGCGGCACAAAATTTGTACCAAAACAAGCAAAAGAACGAAAATATCATGATGGTTTTTGTGGGCCCAATAACGGTCCTAATTGTGAATCTTGTTCGAAATTACTTGATTAAAATGTATCTTTTTCTGATATTTGCTTAAGAAAGTCTTAATTTGTACATAAACAACTAAATTCTCAATTATTCTGTCTTTATAATATATGAACATAATATGTGTTCCATTAAGTAGCCTACTTGAATTTAATCTGAGGATGAGTATGTTCATTATAAACAAGCTAACACAACTAATCTTAGTCTTATTCAAAGATGACAGCGGAACATATTTTTCGTTCTCTGTCAGAAAAGTTTCCAAGAAGTTTAAGTGACAGTTTTTCTAGTCTTAAGCAACGGAGTATTTAATGTTTTCACTTATTTTTTTGCTTTTCTTGAGCTTATGTGTGTTCTCGTTGAAATGGTTGCCATTAAGATTATGTTTCATCTGAAAGGTTACTTTGAATGCCGAATCTTATCGATTCTTTTACCTGATTCTAGATGGGAAATTTGTTTTTTGGCTTATAGATGAATTTGATGTGTTGTTCATTTGCTTGACCATCCATGTGTCTTTGAAAGATTAATAAGTTGAAGTTTCAATGATTTTGCAGATTTTAAAGTTTAAAAAAAAATTATTCAAAGTGTATGAGAACGTTTAGAAATTCGATTTTGAATGCACGACGCTCACCATAATGAATTGGCCAGTACAGGCGAGACGTTTCAATTCTCTCTAATGATTACACAGACTTATCGCTCAACAAATGGATCAAAAGCCATTAGTGCGGATTCTTCAGATACGTCTCTTATGAGAATAGCTTTGGCCAAGATGAGAAAAAATGAAAGTGGTGAACGAATACTACAGTTGACCAAGAATGAACATGAATGTAGATGAAGACGACGGACTCAATTGACACTCAAACCTGATTCTTTAACTTCGTAACGTATTTAGAAGTTTTTTTTTAATGGAATTCGCCGTTTATTAGAACAGAAAAAAAACATCTGATTAGTAGAATATACCTTTGAAAAATTCTTTTAGTCAGAGCGAATGAATTGTAAATAACTAAGTACTCTAGATATTGTTCATCTGTTGGCGCAACTCGAGCACGTTATACTTGAAGAATCTAAGCTACTTTTGCAAATTGTGAAAAACACTGAAGAGATCTATTATGATCGGAATAAATTAACATAGGTTGCAACATTCTCAGATCCATGTTTTGTTTATGTTTGATGAAGGTGTATACATGTGACTTTTATGACTCATTATTTGTAGTGATTGGTCTTGGGACTGTATCATGCTGGTACTAATTACTTTGTGGACTCAAATATCCAATTTGTATACACTATCAATTTGCGTTTTTATGCTAGTCATGTCTTTATTTATTTCATTAAAAGAAAAACAATGAATGAAGGTTATATCATCATTTATCGGTTTCCTTGTATTGATAATCGAATCAAATGAAATTCGTGTCGCATTAGTCGGTAAAGCATTTCAATTATTTCCATGATTGAAAGAAAACTAATACCAATCCATAGGCCAGTTTGACCGCCAATATTTGAAAGAACATCAACTAAACCCATTGTGGCTGTTTGAGAATTCGTTTCGACGATATTTGTTTCACGTGCAATGTTCACAGCAAGATAATCTGCATAAATATGTTCACGCCATGTGATGGACCAATTAGCAGGTAATGACACTGACGAGTTTTCCACAAAAGCCTTAATGTCATTCATTTCCCATTCGAGCGGTGCTCGTGACGAAGATGCTTGAACAATGAAGCTTGTTATTGTACATTGTTGTAAACAATCTAAACAATACTTATTCATTAGTGATGATGAAGTCCAAATTTTATTCGCCGCTGTTGAATAACATTGATTCGTTACGTTGCAAAGAGGTGCTATGATGATTTCCTCACTGTCTGGTTTAACAATAGAGCGAGCATTCCATAAATTCGGGTTCACACAACCACATTGTTCATAACTATAATAAATCAAATTTCTTTTTGCATATATGAAAGTACAATTAAAATTATTCGCTCTGAACATACTTACATGTACTTTTGTTCACACAGTTGATAGCAAATTGTTTCTGAATAACCATAATCAGCGCCACGATATTTTTCGAGCATAGCTTTCATTGAAGGAGAAATTTCACTTGTACAACTAGTATATGGTGATGATAAAAAGTATGCTGTCTTCTTTCTATAGCCCAATTTATGTTTTCGTCCTGGTGCCAGTTCTAGACCAGCTGCTTCAATCAGTGGCAGTTGTGTATTGTCATGGACGAGAGCTATGATTCCAGCGGCTAAATACAAATTAAGAAAAGCATATTATGATATAGATCTTTTTTCTCTTGCTTACAATTTGCTGTATAAGGGACATATTGATGACTGTGTACATAGAGACCTAAGTAAAGGTTACCATCACCTCCACCTTGATTTATATATCTTATACTATCATTATAGCTATTTGTAAGTTTTGCATTGAACGTATAGCATAAGCCATAGGATGATGATAGAAATGGAATAAAATCTTGTACTGAACATGGTTGGAAATTGTATGTACATGTGCGAAGCATGGAAGATAGTGAAAAGAAATATGATTCAACTGATTCATTTATATTACTTTTATAAATTAGGAAATACCAAAGATCACTTAATTGAAATGTATCAGCTGTTGTCGTACTATTTCTATTTGTTGCATTAATGTAGCTTAAAAATGGTCCCATAATTTGATCATAACGAAGTGGTGATCCATTACAAAAGCTAAATGCGGGAAAATATTGCGGCCATTCTCTGATATAGGTTATATCCATGCTTGTTGGATAGTCGAAATAGGCCATAATTGCTTTAACAATAAAAAATATCATAATTGCAGCAAAGCCAATAAATGAAATCGACCAAAATATACGATTGTGTATGCTTGCACTGCGAGCAATACCTGGCAAGGCATGGGTGGATGTATTTAAACAGAATTCACGAACAATGGACAGACGACGAGGTCGTTTTTTTCCTCCAATCGTTGGTATTTTATCCAGTGGTGAAACTATTTTTGCATGAAGAATTCGATCTACCATCATAGCACGTTATTTTTCTAAAATGAATAGCGAACTTAACTATTCATTATTATAAGTTAACAATGGCTTCTTGAATAAACATTTTTTTCAATAGGAAGCCGGGGAAATTATTTTTCATCGGTAAGATATCATGGTCCTTTCCGACAGATAATTGAAAATGAAATTAAAAATTCACTTTTTTACGAGTTTGATACCGCGTGTTTGTTATTGTTTTTTTTTCTCGAAAGCTCTGTCAATATTTGTCGGATTAATTATTCCAAGAAGTACCAACGTAAAACTAAGAAACTTTATGTCACTCTATGTAGAAAGAGTTAATAGAAATCGGCATTGATTGCCTAATGATTGACAAACAAGTTTTTTTTCAAAAATATCTTTTCATTTTTTCCTCGTTCTCAAAGAACTTTTTTACAGAATCAATCTCTCACAAATATCGCCTTATTTTGCATTGCCGAAACATTTTGAAGACCTTGCTTCTTAGTTTTTGAAAAGAATTTTACTGTTTCCTTATCATGTCTCCGTTGAGAACAATAAATAAAGCAAAACTTTTCTCTCAAATAGAGAGATAAAGTTCAATTTCCAAAAAATATGAAGTCAATAGAATCGTTTCTTTCGTCGATGATTCTAGATATAAGAATCCTTGACAAAACGAATATTGAAAACAGAGTTTGATAAAAGCAGCTAATATAACATTTGAAAGATTTCTTACTCTTCGCTCCACAAAACTCAATTGAAAAAAAGTAAACTTTGTAGAGAAATGTTTATTCAATAATTTCATATCAAAGATGAATTGTCGTCTGTCTTTGTATGAAGATTTCTTTGAAAGTAGAGGCATTGTTTTTTAAAGATTCGATTTCTTTACTACTTAAAGATGGCACTATTTTCCCAAGATTATGCAGCTACAGGTGTAGACAGTGAGTTTTTGCTTTTTGATGTGACAGTAAAAGAGCTCTTCATCATCAACAACTCTCTCACTCTCATGATCTCTTCCACACGTCACACCCTCGAATTTGAAATAACACACACTATCAAATGTAAGCCAAATCTCGATCTTTTATTATCAATGTTTCGCAAAAATTCAGAAATTTGAAGTATGATAGATTGTATGCAGCTTTTTCAGCAAAAAATCATTATCGCACTTGTAACGATATCACTGGTAATGCATGCATCAAACAATGAACAATTAAGTCATGATGAATCCATCTCATTCCAAAAGCACAGAATCACAAACATGGAAAGGCATTTGAAATTTCGTAGCCTTGTCAATGGATACCTATGAAAAAAAGATGATACCGAAAACAATACCCATCAGTGGCGGATCTAGAATTTTAGAAGGGAAGGGCGATTTTCGAAAGATGCGACGGTTATAGGCAAAAATCACTTTTTGAGACTTATGCGAGGTAGTAAAGACCAGTTGTTCGTACGTTTTTGCTGAGAAAAAACAAAAAAAATCTCTGGAAGGGGGAGGCGATCGCCTGATCGCCACCCCCCTAAATCCGCTATTGATACCCATGGAGACAGTTCTTGGCTATATAGTATAAGTTTGTAAAGAAATATTTATTACTGAAGCCGAGTTTTTAGGAACAATACTTTTTGCACTGTTTGACCTAAAATAGTGTTCACGTAAAAAATTTATAGTTATTTACTGATGTAGCTATAAGAAAAGTCTGAAGCCTTCTTTTCACGTCTGCAATATATCAGATTTTAAAAAGAAGCACTCTTCATTAACGAAGTTATTTGAAATGCAACTATTTTGAATAGTTTCCAAGTTCAGATATTCAATTCTAATTATATTTTTTCGTTTCTAGAAGCAATGTAAGTGGAACATGTTAGTTGATAGGACTTAATTGACAAATGAAATGCTACTTTTGCTAGAAATTTGTATATTGCTATAGAATTTCGATAAGTATGAAAATGATCCTGAAAGCTTTCCTTGGCTACAGATCTTAAATTCTTAGCTAAAATTGGAATTCAAAAATTGTCGGATATGATGTTCTTATCTAAATACTTGTCAATAGCCTTAATAATAAATTACTCACAAAAACCTTACATCTGAGTATATCCAAGTTTCAAAAATTTCAATAAAGTGTTTGAAAATAGGTATCATATCAATTCTGTTAGAGATAGGGATGCACCAATTCCAATTCCGACCAATTCCAATTCTTAGAATTGTCGAAATTGGTTGGAATTGGTCGAAATTGGAAATGGAATTTGTTGCAATCGGCTGGAATTGGAATTGGTTGGGATTGGAATTCGTTTGGAATCGGTCTAAAAAAATTGGTAATCGATCGACGATTTCTCGAAATATGTGCCAAAATCAACGATTTTAAAAAACCCAATTCTGACCAATTCCAATTCTTGCCAATTCTAACCAATTCCAATTCCGATTCCAGCCAATTCCAACCAATTCCAATCCCAATTCCAACCAATTCCGATTCCAATTCCAACCAATTCCAACCAATTCCAATTTCCAATTCCAATCGATTCCGCCAATTTCTAGTGAAGAATTGGAATTGGTGCATTCCTAGTTCGAGATTTTCTGTCATTCGAAAAATAAATAAATTTGAATCAAATATTTTATTTTTCACCTTAATACTGTATACTTACTTTAGAGTAAACTTCAGACTCTGAAAAACTTTTCATCATATGTAACCACTTTAATTACTTCTAGATTCTATCGAATTCATAAAAAATTGTCAACTTAGTGGTATAGACTAGC